TTCAGATGGTTGACTTTATCTGTAAGAAGTCAGGACTGGTTAAACTAACGGAAGAGCTCGACGTACTCGATGACGGTTAGATCACATGCTTTGAGTTCATGTGATCAGTTCACGTGCTTTCAGGAGTAAATAAAAGCTGAAAGGGGCCGTTTTTAACGCCCGAATACTCTTTCGTACTCACGCTAGCCGGCTGAGGTTGGGGACCTGGAGCTGTGGAGCTGATCAAATTCATCAACAGTTGAAAAACAAGCTACCGGTAAGTATTTGTTGTTATTTATTGTTTTCTTCAGATTTTAGCCGCTACATTATTTACACGGAGAGCTGACCGCTAGCTAAATCGGTCACATAAACTCAGAGAAAACAGGTTTTAAAAAAAGGCCAAGTATAGCTCATATTTTCATCACTAGCCGTCACCAATAACATGCTAAAACCAGTTAGCTTATTTGATTGCATGGTTTGAATGTTGTTTTTGACTAGGTGATCCGTTTTAGCTTCACGGTCAGATGTTTTGAAACGGGTGAAGCCATTTCCCCCCCCCAAAGAAACACACATGACTTATTCTTATCATTCGTTATTGATTATTCTGTGCGTTTTGGTATAGGCAAGCAGTATTTCAATAACATAAAAAGGGATTTTGGGGGGGGGGGTTAAAAGATTGCGTCATATAATCCTGAATTCAGTCGGGGAAATGGAAAGTGAAACTGTTTCATAAGAGCGTCCTTTGAGCCATCCTTCTTTCAAAAAAAAGAGGGGAAAAATGGAAACAAATGAGATACTGAAGCTTTGTTTAGTTAGTTGTGAACATGTGAGCTGCAGACAGAGGCTCCCAGGTGGAGGGGTTAACCAGAGGGAAGTGAAATTATTCTAAGGACTATAGCGGTGTATTGTTCAGAACAAAGAAAGGTTTACTTCAACTGTCACGTACCTCAAACACCTCAGCGTTATAGGAAGGAATAAGGAAGTGATCAAGAGTAAAGTATGTAGTCTGAAATGTTTGTTACCACACCTTGTGGGCATAAAACTGTGTGACAATTTAAAGGAAAAACCCACAACGTTCGCTCCCCCACTAGTGTGTAGATCTGGCGGCTCAGTTATCGACAGGGAAAAACTACACAAACTGGTTGTAATTAAACACCTTTATACTATGATGAAACGTTATCATATAATTTCCTTCCAGGAAAGCAATGCCCCTGTCAGATTGTTTGAATATGAAAAACATGAGTCATATGCTTTGACCTCCAGTAAAATCTCGCTATGTCAACAGCCGTGGCAAGTTTTGGACCTGCACACTTTAAACAGTAGGAAATGAAAGACTATCTTTTGAAAGGGTGTCAAGGTGCACTAACTATTCCAGCAGCTTGGTAAAAGGACCTTAAGAAGGCCATAATTTTTTTTGTTTGTTTGTTTTAAGTTTAAGTAGACAAGAGGGAGCATAAATAGTTTCAAATGATTGAATTGCCTTCAGAGGTTGGTTCTTATCTAAAAGGAAGATAAGAAACTGAAGAAGTCACTTGGATGAGTGACGAAACGTTTCTCCCAGAAAACGCTACGTCCAGATGAACAGAATCAACTTTTGGAGATAAGAAACTGAAGAAAAGATTTAGAAACTAAAGTTCTCCTTTCTCCTGTATGACTTTCGATGGCTTTGGCTTTGACTCATCAGTTTTTTTTGTCTTTCGCTTAAACCACAGAGGGGAACATTTATGGCCTCTTGGCCTTTAACAATGTGTTAATATCAACGCTAAACTGTCATCAAACTTAATGTGGAGGGTTTTCTTTGCATGAACAGAACTGTGCCTAAACAAAGGTCGCACTATGACTCAGCAGCTTAACTCATCTGTGGCATGAGTACATTCAAAGGTACTGACTTGGTACTTGGAAAAGACAGCTCAGCGGGTTTCTCATCCACTTCCTCAAAAAAAAATCTTTTGGTAGAAAGAAACCACTTCTCTAGAGAATTAACCAAAAAACCCTTTGGTGTCTTTCAAACATGTTCTACCATTCAAATTTGTCTTGTCCTTAATAAGATTTTTGTGTGTGTGTGTGTGTGTGTGGTACTTAGTTTGCACACAGGGAATGGTTTCTTTAGCATAACAGTTATTGTTTTTATAGCACATGCACGAGAATTCAAAATAATCCAAAAACTGGAGGACACTCAGAAATCCCTCTGCACATGACCTGTAAACATGCTGTCCTTGATTGAGCAGCAAGGCAGTGCTTTGGTGTGATCTCAGAGCGAATGTGTCATTCTGCTACGGGAAACAGCCTGTTCTTACTTCCTTTTTAATATACTTTTTTTTCGTAATCCATCATGTGATCGAAGCCAGCTTCACAGAAATTCACATGTTCTGTTTCTCAAGCAGGCTTGTGGTTTTGTTTTTGTTTTTAAAACAGGACCTGTCTGAGCAGGTGTGGGGATTTCACGTATTCAACAACATAACTGACTTCTGTTTTCAATGGAATGTTTACTCTGGCTTACTGTGCCAGTAAGCCAGAGTAAACATGGCTTACTGTGCCAGAATGGCTGGATGCATTCATGTACAAACCTTTGTTCTTTACTTTTGCTTGTAAAATAATTTTGGGCCACAGTCTCATCAGATTAAATAGTTTGTAGTTAGATCATCTGATCCCAGAAGAAGCAGAGTGTCTGCACCCGTATTGATTTCTCTGGACTTCCTGCTATTACCGAGCACTCTCCACACCTCTTTTTAGTAGGCTACGTTATCTGTCTGTAATGGAACTAATTTCGGCTCACACCATTGCATTTTACTTTCTATAATATGGCCTGTATTCTTCACACACTGGAGCCATTTAGAGTTTCCTGTATCGTTGGTCCTGTCGTCTTTGCCATATGAACTGAAACCCAGAATCTTTAACAGTGGGGGGAGTGCAAAGGAATTTTTTTTTTTCCTTTACTGTGTGGCTGCTTATCAAAATCGACTAAAATCATTGGAGCATTTGCTGAGGCAGCATCTTTAACTACTGAAGGGGACTTTGACGCATGACTGACTCTAAGAGGTCTGTCTCCGTTCTCTCTGCATCATTTTTTCCCACTCGTAGCGTCAAGCAGCGTGATGGTGTTCAATCAGCTGTGACCCTTTAAGTGGTGATGTAGTTTCAGGAGTCTATCTTAAAGGGTGACTATCATACTGTGTGCAGCTGCAGCAGTGTATTGACTACAAATGTGAAATTCCAGCAGAGCTGGAGAACAGCTGAGGATTTTACTACTCTACTCTACTTCCTGTTTTTGAACTCTAGCTAGACTTGTGAATGTTAATAATTTCAAGGTAAAGCACATCTTTATGTTGAGATGTTGTAGTCTCTTCACTGGTCAGGAAAATCAAAAGGCTCCCAGTTACTGAAATGAAGTCTGTGTTTATGACATGATGCAGTAACAGAATAAATTACCACAGCTAAACCAAACTTATTAACTTGTCTTTCAGGCAAGATGTGGCATGCAGCCTTCCTCCTGTTGGCTGCCAGCTTGTCAGTGAGCCTGGCCAGACCCCACCTCCATCCACTGTCTAATGAGATGGTCAACCACATCAATAAATTGAATACTACCTGGAAGGTGAGTGAATTATTTGTTTTTCAATTTATGACAGACCTCTGAGAGTAAAAGTGTTTGACTAAATTTCCTCCCTGTCTTGCAGGCTGGCCACAACTTCCATAACGTCGATTATAGTTATGTGCGCAAGCTGTGTGGTACAATGCTGAAGGGACCCAAACTGCCAGTCATGTGAGTCTTAGTCATATGTTCTGTGGTTGCGAAACAAGTCCTCTAACGATCCCTGACATCGGAATATTTCAACCTACGCTGATCACAGGATAGTTGACTGTACTTTCACATTATTCTCTGTGTCACTGGAAACTTACTAATAGGGCTACATGATTATGGCTAAAATGATAATCACTTATTTTGAGTAATGAAATCAAAATTATTTGCTTTAATTTTTACATTGTGCTACATTCTTGTTAAATAAAACTACTTTAATAAAATAAAATTAAATAACATGCTTATTCACCTGAGAGCATCTCTTGGAAGCTAAATATAAAGTCTTTCACTTCATTCACCGTAGCTGCATAATTAAAGTGAATATAAATCATAGTACTCGACAGCTGTGGGTCCCTTTCCCCTGGAATGTTTTTCATACAGCGTGGGTATTTCCACTGCTTAAGACAGTAATCTTTTGTTTAGTAAGGTAACTGTTTTCTTGAAGCCTTCAGTACTCACTCTGTTTATTGGACAAGTCTGTGGTGATTTCAGTATGCCTTTGTGAGCCAGAGGAATAGGCTTGTTGTTATGGATGTCTGTAGGATGCAGGTCGATTCACATTAGCAGCTACATACAAGTCTTCCTGCAGTCATTATGCTGCATTTTCTGATGTGTTTTCAGGGAGTTGAATAAGTTGAGTTGTGCTGCTTTGTGATGCGTATGCAGCGAGTGCCATAGAGTTGTATCTGCATCACAAAGCAGCACGAGTTCCTCTACTTAGGATCGCCCGTGCCAAATCCAAAATGTTTCCAAACATTGTATGATCTGCTTTCAGGGCTGAGTTCTGGAAGGCATCTGACTTTTCTTGCATTTATATTTTATTGTGGTGTTGCTCGTCCAGAGTAGTACAGTCAACTTTAACCTCTGCAGTGCAGGGAACGGCTGTGATTGGCTCATGTAGGCACGTATTTAAGCGGTGGTTTAGGGTGTGTTTAATTTGCTTTTGGTTGGATTGATGGAGCATGCATATTCAGTTTTGCACAATCATTAATTGTGCAGCCCTACTTTACTAAAACAATAGTAAGTAAAACTTCTTTTTGTTTTCCTCTGCAGGGTTCAGTATGCTGGAGATTTGAAGCTGCCAAAAGATTTTGATGCTAGACAGCAGTGGCCCAACTGTCCCACTCTGAAAGAGATCAGAGACCAGGGCTCCTGTGGATCCTGCTGGGTGAGAAGCTGCTCAATGTCACCACATGTAGCTAGACTATTCAAGAGCTCTGTAATCTGAAATTGCATAAGAAACTTTAAAAAAAACCTCATTGAGGAAGAGAATGGAGCTCAGCTCTTAGGACAAGAATGAAATCTTTGCTGTTCAAATTTTGCGATGATCTGTTTCCCTGCTTCATGTCTTTGTTGTTGTGGTTCCAGGCGTTTGGTGCTGCAGAGGCCATCTCTGATCGTGTATGTATTCACAGCAATGGGAAGGTCAATGTGGAGATCTCCTCAGAGGATCTGCTGACCTGCTGTGACAGCTGTGGCATGGGGTGAGCAATTCTTACCATCAGATAACTGAAATCACTAAAATATTAAAGATCAAGATACTAAGATTATAATTATTTACCAGGATCACTGAACTTTGATAATTAAATATAATGAACCAAACTATGACATAAAAACCTTAATCTGGGGAAAAGAGCAGCAGATATAGATGATACAATTGGTATTAAGAGGGGGAAAGAAAGTTTGGTGCTTTCCTTAAATAAGTTCATTTTTAGTAAGTAATGTTTTGTTTTTGTGTGTGTATTTTTTAGATGTAATGGTGGCTAACCTTCAGCTGCCTGGGACTTCTGGTCAAGTGAAGGTCTGGTCTCTGGAGGTCTCTATGATTCCCACATTGGTGAGTGTGTTTCTGATAGATTGATGCAGTTATGCGCATGTTGGGTGTGATTACAGTAGAGACACTATATCCTTGTGTCTGCAGGCTGCAGGCCCTACACCATCCCCCCCTGTGAGCACCATGTGAATGGCAGCAGACCTCCCTGTAGTGGGGAGGGTGGGGACACACCAGAGTGTGTCCGCCAGTGTGAGTCTGGATACACACCAAGCTATACACAGGACAAGCACTATGGTAAGAGCAGCAGAAAGAAATGTATATTTATCATAAATAAGGTTTGTAATATTGTCACAGTCTGCATAATTATGAGTAGTAACTGCAACGTAACAACAAATTGTTATTGAATTATAACAAATAGATATTATATGAAATCTGAAGGAACTCCTTACCCTGATATTCAAATAGCCATTGTGCAGATGAACTTTGATTTTCTGATTGTTCACATATCTTGACTCTGTGTGTTGCAGGTAAAACATCTTACAGCGTGCCATCAGACGAACAGCAGATTCAGTATGAGATCTACAAGAACGGCCCTGTAGAGGGAGCGTTTACAGTCTATGATGACTTTGTTCTGTACAAGACTGGTAAGAACACATGAACTCATCACACATGTAATGGTCACCCTGCCTGCCATTTCACAAATTCAGCACAACATTGATTTGAACTGAAGCTCTTCCTTGTTTAGCTCTTGCAGAGGTGTGTGTGAAAAGTTAACAGGCTTTCATGCTGGAAATCTCCAACTGCAGCTGGATGTAGTTTGATATTCTAGTATTTAAGGTGCCTTGAATGTGACTTAGTATGAATAGAGACACTATTAGAATACACACCCAGTCTCTTCACTATATTGTACTAAAAAAAAAAACTTTAGGTGAGCTCTAATGGATTTGTTCTGTCTTATCCAGGTGTTTATCAACATGTGTCTGGTTCTGCTGTCGGTGGTCACGCCATCAAGATCCTGGGCTGGGGAGAGGAAAATGGCACTCCCTACTGGCTCTGTGCCAACTCCTGGAACACTGATTGGGGTGATAATGGTGAGCAGAGGCAGTTTAATACTGTTAACACACGCAGTCACCATGCTATGTGAGGGGAGTCACTACTGAAAAATACTACAGTATAATCCTCTAAAACGGAATGGGGAGTCTTATAACTGAATCAGCATTTTGTTCAGCATCACAAGGACTTGATCATCATTAAGACATATGTATTATTTTTAATTATACATTATTTATATCAGGAGCACCCACTTCTTTATTTCACTTTATTTTACATGTAAAACAGACTGACTTCATGACACACCAAAGCTGAAACCCTGTTCGCTTTTTTTTATTTATTTATTTTTTTTTAAATGCTCTGAAAGGAGGTCTTTATGTCTTTAACTTTTGTTAACATCTTTTACAAATGTTTGTTTGCTAGAACAATGTCTTGACATTGTTCTAGCTCGTTTACACAACTCTACCAGTGAATGAGAAATTCTTCTCTTACAGTAAATTATAGTAATACTCCCTCACTCAAAATGGGCAAATGCTGTATGGTGGTGTTTATAGATGTTCACGTGTTTTCTTCAGTTTGGCAAATTGAAGTAAATTCTGTTTTTCTGATTTTTAGGATACTTTAAATTCCTGCGTGGTTCAGATCACTGTGGTATTGAATCTGAGATTGTGGCAGGGATTCCCAAATAAAAGCTAAGGTAAGATGGTAAACAGATATGGATTTTATGTGTGGGAGTTTTTTTAATTATCATTATGATTATTATTATTATTTTTAAATATGGATTTAAAAGAGTATTCAAAATGTACTTCTGACTTTTTCTTACATGCATAATTCAGAAATGGATTCAGATTTTCTTCTGCTGTCAGTTACATGTAGATCCGCATTAACTCAATGCAAGTTCAGCAGGCTGGTGTGCCAGCTTTAAGAGTCATCCTTGCTTTAATTTCCCATTTTTCTCCTTTTGTACCTGCAGGTTTTCAGCTGTAGCATCATTACACTATCACTAGAGGGCGATGCACTCCACTGACCTGAAGACACAGCTGACAAAATTAACTGCTTTTAGTCCTTTTTAGCTAAAGCTCGCTGATCACTTTGCACACCGGCTTTAAAAACTAAAGCGAGGTGAATTTGCAAATGGGGTGTGACAGAAATGTGATGAACCTGAGGAAAAAGTGCTGGAGTTGATGTTTTCACCTCTTAGACAGACAGGAGAAATTTTATTTTAGAC